GACGGAGAAGGAGACGTTTCTTAATTTTTCATTAAAATCATCAATTTTCGACCGCTTATATCTCGAGAACGGCTTGACCGATTTAAAAATTCCTTGGCTCAAATTACTCGTGGTGATGCCGCCTTTCAGGACATATGACGTTCGATTCAAAATTTTTTATATTTTAATAGTTATGCACCTCCCAATAATGGACTTTGATGGCTCGGGATAAGAGACTTGTAGCGTCTCAGAGTTTTTTTGAACATGGCCGGAGACGCTACCGCGTCTCCTGATAAGATTTGTACAAAAATGGGAGTATTAAAAATTTTGAGTAAATTAAATGATATATATTTCTATATATCATTTAATTTACTCAAACTTTTTTAAAAGATATATCCACATCGTCTTTATACATTTCAGAAATGAAATCTACTTGTTCCTTGTAATAATCCTTAATTTTTAATTTTTGAAAAAAATTATCTCCGACTAACCAGGCTATCTTTCAACCGTATTTTAAAGATACAGAAGATAACATTTAATATTACGAGATTTTAATAAGGATTTAATATCGATATTTCTCGTTATTTGATAAAGGATACATATTCCATTTTTTTCTCATAAATGTAAATTAAAAATAACAGAATCAATTCAAATTTCATGATTGTAAAGCGTGCTTTTCTTTGATTTCGCCATATAAGTGCAAACATTTCCATTTTACATCGTACAACAAAAGAATAAGTGTACAAGATCATTCTTTTATTGCTTAATTATATAGAATACTATTTTGATTTCCAAAACGGATGCAATTTATGATTTAAAAAAGTAGATTATTTTTTATAAAGTAAATAAAGTATAAAAATATGTTCAATAAAAATATAATGTTATGAACACAACTTTTATACGTATATACATATATATATCTATATATATACTTGTTTGAAATATAAATATTAATACGAGTATATATGTGCTTTATATGAGCCTGTACAACCTACTTAAGAGGTCGTAAGGGCACATATATCATTAAATAAATTATAACTTAATTATGAGACCGCTGTACTAATAAATAAAATAAGTGAGGAAAGGACATTTATAAAATGTATTTGTAAATGATAGTTTAAATAAAAAGGAAAGTAATAATAAGATAATTTTCAATGAATTAAAGAAATAGCAAAAAGATTTTAATAGTTTTATTATAATTCAGTATTAAAATTAATATTCGTTACAAAAATAATGAGTATTCTGAAATGCATTAATTTCAAATGGAATTTCATTACAAATCGTCGCGATGCAGCCCTCTTCGAACATACTCGTACTGCCAGGGAACTTCACCAGGTAATGTTAGAAAATAATCAGCTAGTTTATCTCTTTGTTTGTAAGCAATTGTAGTTGCATGATGTGCTGAAGTGGAAGGTATGTCTGTCAATCCGTTATCACGATATCGCCGCCATTCTCCAGGTATGGTATTGCCTGTAATATTCTCTGAGTCAACAAAATTTGGAGGACAATATATTCTGTTATTCACTTCCACATGATCTTCTTCAGATTTTATAAAATTATGTAAACATATAGTCGACATGACAATGCTGTCTACGTATTTTGGATTCATATTGATAGGTTTTCGATAAATCCTCCATCGAGAAGATAAAATACCAAAGGTATTTTCAATGATGCGTCTTGCTCTAGACAATCTGTAACTCAATAGAATGTGAAACATGATTAAAATAAATTAAGATAATATGAAAAAAATATTACTATTATTATAATTAAATACATAAACTACTAAACCTGTAATTAAAAATTTTCTTCCTTTCATCAAGTAGTTTTCCGGAATAAGGTCGCATCATAATGGTACTGATTGGAAAACCACTATCTCCAAGAAAAAAGCACGGTAATCTAATGTTGCTTCTAGGAAGATTTGCAGTTCCTTTAGGGAGGAATGTTTAATGTTTCCTGTTGCAATGCCGAATAAATGTCAGAAGAAGTAAAAATACCTCCATCGCTATTTCCACCATACGATCCTATGTCGACTAGAGTAAACATGTATTTATGATCACACGCAGCCATCAGTACAATGCTGAAGGTCTTTTTGTAATTGAAGAATAAGCTCCCAGAGTTTGGCGGAGCTTGTATTTCCACATGCTTTCCATCAAATGCTCCTACGCAATGAGGGAAATTCCAGTTTTCCAGAAAGCCTCTGCAAATATTTTTCCATTTTTCTTCGGTTGGTAAACACAGATAAATTGGTTGCAACACCTTTACAATGATTGGACAAGTCTCATGAATGATTTTTCGAACAGTAGACTCTCCACATCTGAAAGCCAAAGCAATGGATAATATTTGATCGCCAGTTGCTAAATATCTGTAAAAAAAATATGTTATATCAAACAAACAGAAAAAAATATTACTATAAAAGAACATTTGCTATAAAATAATATAGTGCCATATACATATTTGGTTTATTAATATAATAATATATAATAAAACAAGTACTTAAATACCTCAAAGTTATGGTCAACCTTTGCTCTGGAATAAATGCTCGATGGTTTGATTTAATCAAGAAAGGCTTTGTCATTTCTAGTAGAAGGTCAAAAGTTTCTCTACTCATTCTTACATATCGAAAAAATATATCTTTGTCGTTATATCTTAACTCTTGGAAGAGATGCTCATAATCGCCATACAAAGGACGAGCTACATTGATGGGTCTCACCCACCATCTCCGATTTAACCATTTCCATTGTCGATTCCTTTTTTGTAACAAGGCCAATAGACACAATTGTAAAACCGTGAAAATGAAGAAGTCATCATCGTCCATGTTCCTTTATATCTGATAAGAGTTTAATATCTAAAATATATATAGATAAGAAAAATATAACTATACATATTTTTAATTTTATTGATTTGATTTTGTAAGTAACAATAAAAAATTCAGGTCTTCCATCAGTATACTTACTTCCAAATATATTTTAACAGGATTTGAACCGAAGTCTCATGTCCTATCCGCTAGATAACTACTTGTCGCAAAGTCACATAGCCTGAAAAGGAATTTCTGTTGTATTTCATAGAAGTATCTCACAATTCTTAATTTTATTGTATTATTTTATATCATATTTACAGCTACATAAAAACTAAGTTATTTGTATAAAACTTTTAAAATTTGCACAAAAACTTACTTTATTAATGCTTTACTAAAATTAGATAAAATATATTTAATATTATAAGAGATAAACATATCTTTAATAGAAAATATTTTTAAAAAATACTTATTTCTAGATATATTTTAACTTTTTATTCATATATTAACCTCTTGGCGTAATTTCACGTGCTCGGTAGTCGATATAATAATCAAAACAGTCCTTTTCTTTTTTTTTAGGTTAAGATAAAGCTTCATGCACAAGCTTGTGCGTTGGCTTCAAAACAGTCCTTTTCTTTTTTTTTTAGGTTAAGATAAAGCTTCATGCACAAGCTTGTGCGTTGGCTCTCGTTACGTTATGCGCTATGCGTTAAGCGTCATGCGTCATGGAAAAGTGTGTGCTGCGGCCTTAAGCCGCGCTAATTTTCTCCTACTATTAGGGTGCACTCAGATGGAACGATCTGTGGAAATGCGGAATTGGCGGAATTGACGTGATTGGTCGTTATTTCGTCCGCTATTTCGTCATTTTCTTTCCGCGGATTTTCTTTATATTTAACGGATTCCACAGAGATATAAACTGAGGCGTTTTTCCGTTATCTAACCAAAAGCAACCGCGACTAAGACTATCTTCGTTTTCAGGAATCAGAAGACAAAGATAGCCTTAGCCGCGGTTGCTTTTGGTTAGATAACGAAAAAACGCTTTTGTTTAACCCAACATGGCAAACATTAAAAATATTGTAAGTATATACAAAGTAATTCTTCAGAAGAGTTTCCTCACCTCTGATTTCGATGAAATTAGGATTATTCGACTCGTTTTGCGTAAAATAAAAGAATCTAGTAGAATAATTTTACCGAAATCGGAAGTGAGGAAGCTGTTCTGAAGAATTATACTGTATGTAATATTTTAAAATATTTTAAAATAAAAAATTTTTTAATGTTACGTAACTTTTGAAGGGTTAGAAATGTGAATACTGTGGATGGTTTTTACCAGAAAATTATGATTTGCTGCGTCAAACTTTCATACATTTTTTTATTATAGTAAAAGAAACCTGTAAATTTTTTACTAATCCGCATATCACGATCAGAACTTTACTAGAAGAAATAATTTCGCACACAGCTACTAAACAGTTTGAATATTTCAATATAAACATTATAACAGTTTTCTCCGTTCCGCAGAAATATTTTTTCTATGTTCACATGGTGCAGAATTAACAGAAACGTAAAACAGTCCTATCCAATGGAATATACTCTTTAGATAGATAAGTATAAAACGTCCGCTGTACGAGTTAGTATTATTAGTCGATAAAATTTCCGCTTCCGCGAGATCCGCTCCATGTGAACTTAGGAAATAAATCTGCGAAATGAAAATAACGGAATGAAGCAACGACCAATCACATCAATTCCGCCAATTCCGCATTTCCGCAGATCCGCTCCATCTGAATGCACCCTTACATGGAGCAGAAACTGCGCGGAAAAGCGGCACGGACTAGTGACAAGTTGACGTTACTATGCACTTTTTAATGAAATTAATAGATTTAAATACAATTATTAAGCAGATTCGTTGAAAAAATAAGATTATTGATAAAATGTGCATAGAAATAAGTTAATACATTTAAGAAAATGCATACAAATGTGAACTTGTCACTATACCGTGCCGCCTTTCCGCGTTCCATGTAAAAATATTATTACTGTGAAAAGAAATTGGTAAGTATGTGAATAAAATAAATGTATCTTTTTAATTTTAGTAATAAATTGATGTTTTGAGAATGTGTAAAATCTATTTCATAACCTCTAATTATTTTGGTTAAGTTAAAATATTAATACAAAAATTAATCCTCCTACACACAAGTTATAAGTTTTACATTATATTCTTTCATATATTCAAATATAGATACATATGTGACAAAAATTCAGCCTGACATCGACATTCTCTTCTGAAGATTCGTATGTACACAATCTAATATACTATACTATATGTATATAGACAAAGCACAAATATTGAAAGTATTAGGAAAAATATTTTGTAAATGGAAGAATATAACAATCAATATCACTGGTTTTTGTATACATTTATTATACGTCTATATTTATTGCTGAATCGTCGAAGAAGAACAAAAAGATGTATTTGGATACGAAATATATTCCATGAAACACAACGAAGAGAAGCTGGTGCACAAAGACTAATAAACGAAATGTGCTTAATGGAACCTAATAAATATTTCAATTATTTACGAGTGACACCAGAACAATTCAATTCTTTACTTGGTTTCGTTGGACCACATATAACTAAATTAGAAACTTTATTTCGTTCACCCATACCACCAGCAACAAGATTTGCTTTGACATACGATTCGTATACGACTCGTGTAAGATTCGCATATACTTCATAAACGATCGGATATGAATCGTATGTCTTTCATATCCTGTTCACATACGATCTTATCCCATTTACGTATACCATGACATATGATTTTGTCTTATGCGACTTTCACGGTAGGGAACCTAATAAATATTTCAATTATTTACGAGTGACACCAGAACAATTCAATTCTTTACTTAATTTCGTTGGACCACGTATAACTAAATCAGAAACTGTATTTCGTTCACTCATACCAGCAGCAACAAGATTTGCTTTGACATTACGGTTAGAAAATATATTAATAATATATTAATTATGTATTTTAACTTATAGTTTTAGTTATCAGTTTCGAATAGGCAAAAGTACGGTATCGAAAATAATATCAGAGACTACAACTGCAATTTGGAATATTTTACAACCAATTGTTCTAAAACAACCAACAGAAAATGACTGGAAGAGAATTGCTAAGGAATTTAATGATAAATGGAATTTCGTAAATTGTATTGGAGCAATAGATGGGAAACATATTATTATTCAGGTAAATAAATTAATTTGTTTTAGGTAAATAAATATATATTTTTAATTGTTAATAAAAATAAATATTTTAGGCACCTTCGCATTCTGGCTCTACATTTTACAATTATCATACATCCCATAGTGTAATATTGATGGCTGTCTGTGACGCGAATTATTGTTTTACTCTTGTAGACATTGGAGCAGGACACCAAAGCGATGGAGGAATATTTCAAAGAAGTGACATTGGTATTGCTTTTGAAAGCAATCTATTAAATGTACCTCCTCCTGAAAATATTTTAGAGAATTGTATGTTACCATTTGTTTTGGTTGGAGATGAAGCATTTGCCTTAAAAACATACATGATGCGACCATTTCCCCGAAATTCTCTAACTTACGAAAAAAGAATCTTTAACTATCGATTAAGTCGTGCACGTCGTACCATTGAAAGCGCCTTTGGTATTTTAGCATCCCGATGGCGAATATTTCGTAAACCAATTATAGCGTCTTTGGAGACTGTCGATAATATTATCAAAGCATCTCTTTGTCTTTATAATTTTATAATAAAGGATGAATTACAAAAATTCGTAAATAAATCACGGAATGTATTTACTAGAATGTTTGATGAAAGTAATGAATGTGGAGCTATGAGAGATATTACTTATATAGATACAAATGAACGCACATCACATAATGCTGTAACAATAAGAAATAAATTTGTAAATTATTTTATGAATGAAGGAGCGGTATTTTGGCAATATGAAGCTGTTCAAAATAATAATATGTAATCTAACATGACTTTATTTTTAAAAATATGTATGCATTAAGAAAACGTTTTTTACATAACAAATTTATGTGTGTTTATATATGTACTTGTATCTGTACGTAAAACAGGATATAATAAAAAAAAATTAGTATAACATTTGTATTTGTGCAAGACTTTTGTCTACAATAACATAATCTTAAAAAGAAACACTTTCTTACAATAAATAAACATAATATTGATAAACAAAATACATAACTGTTTTGTTTGAAATATAAAATTGTTATATCTGTACTTAAACAAACAATAAATTCCTTAATCATATAACTAAAACAAGAAATCCTTTCTTTTTCTATACTATTAACATAGTTTTTAATACTATTAATATTTTTGCTAATAATACTATTATAATTTATTTGTATCTGCAACAGGATATAACAAAAAAAATTTAGTATAACATTTGTATTTGTGCAAGACTTTTGTCTACAATAACATAATCTTAAAAAGAAACACTTTCTTATAATAAAACGTAATATTGATAAACGAAATACATAACTGTTATATTTGAAATACAAAATTCTTATATTTGAACTTAAACAAGCAATAAATTCTTTAATGATATAATTAAAACAAGAAATCCTTTCTTTTTTTATACTATTAATACTGTTTTTAATACTATCTTAACATTACTGTTAATATTGCTTGGTATTGTAGAACTACACTTGTTGTAAAACTTATTAATTGTAAAACTTATGGAGTAACTGCATTATTTCTATTTCAGCGGATAATCTGTTTTTCATATCTAGCATCCGTAAAGAATCTGCAATGCTGCGACAGAAGTGATCCACTGAGTCTGATGCAGCAGGTACTGGTGGTTTTAAAGCTGAAAGCCCTTGTAATAATTCGTCTTCGATAGTAGTAGAGCGTCGTGGGCGTTCTAACATAGAAAATAACATATAAATAAAAAGGTATTATTAATTTAAAAATTAAAATTCGTATAAAAGCTATATATACTTGATGATTTGCTGAAATTATAACTTTCGGGAGAATTTAATGAAGAAGACAAAGACTGAGAAGATGTAGTAGACGGCGAAAATTCAGGTGAAGGTGGTGTAAGTATAGGTGGAACCTGAGTAGCACACGATGAAAGTGGACTGTCAACGTGAGAAGTGTTATTCGATTGTGAAATATTAAAATTAAATGATGAAGCAAGCGGTTGTGATTGTCTACTAAGACGTATATTCGACACATGCCTAAAATAAATTATAAAATGTAATAAAAATGATTGTCTCATTTTTTTAAAATTAATTTTTTAGCTTTAATTTTATTTTATATTAATCAAAATATGATATATTTACTTTCGTTGATCCATACTATCATCTAAAAATGACATTAGTTCGTAATATTTATAGTTAGGACGTTTTTTGGCCGCTGCTGATGATCCACTAGGTAATTTTTTTTTCATATTACTTCGGATCTTCATGTATCTGTCACGTTGAACTTTCCAGCGTCTCTTTAATTCTTCGACTGGTACCTGGCCTATGTAAAATTATAATAAATAAAAATTTTAACATACAAGTAAACACATTTTCTGAAAAAAAATTATGAAGTATAATTGAAATAAATGTAATATTAGTGCAAATTGTTTATAACTTTTACTCATGCATTTTTATTATATTTTTTATATTCACCTTCAAAGATTTCAAAAATCTCTTGCCACATTTTATTAACGATTACTCGACTTCTGCTTTGGATTGATGATTTAATATCGTATAACGCAGGACGTTTTTGAACTTCACCAATGAGTACTTCAGTAAATTCTTGAACATCTCCACTGATATCAACATAGTCTACATTCTCATCTTATTCAGATGCTTCATTCATAGATTCTTCTTCATTTTCCATATTTTTTTGAGAATCACAGGTCTCTTTTGTTATCAGTACATGTTTATATATAATATACAGACAATTTCATGTGAATATTAATTTTAATAAAATACTCATTCAAAAAATAAGTGTTTATTTATATATTGAAAGAATTAATCTCTTTACCTGGATGTAAATATCTATTGTGTAGCATGTCAACGTTACATTGAAGAGTCTCAGGAGAGAATCCTATGTCATTGATAGATTGCAAATTTTCGTCATACATAATGTATATCCACAAATCTTTTAATATATGAAAGAATATAATGTAAAACTTATAATTGTGTAAGGGGATTCATTTTTGTATTAATATTTTAACTTAAACCAAAATAATTAGAAGTTATGAAATAGATTTTACACATTCTCAAAACATTAATTTATTACAAAATTAAAAAGATACATTTATTTTATTCACATACTTACCAATTTCTTTCCACAGTAATATTTTTAAAAATAACAACTGTCTGTTTTACTAGAATTTCATCAAGCCTCAACTTTATTAATTCCATTAACGATTAATCACATTTGATTATTTATAAGTCTTTGTGCACCAGCTTCTCTTCGTTGTGTTTCATGGAATATATTTCGTATCCAAATACGTCTTTTTGTTCTTCTTCGACGATTCAGCAATAAATATAGACGTATAATATATGTATACAAAAACCAGTGATATTGATTGTTATATTCTTTCATTTACAAAATATTTTTCCTAATACTTTCAATATTTGTGCTTTGTCTATATACATATAGTATATTAGATTGTGTACATACGAATCTTCAGAAGAGAATGTCGATGTCAGACTGAATTTTTGTCACATATGCATCTATATTTGAATATATGAAAAAATATATAATGTAAAACTTATAATTGTGTGTAGGAGGATTTATATTTTTTTGTATTAATATTTTAACTTAACCAAAATAATTACAGGTTATGAAATAGATTTTACACATTCTCAAAACATCAATTTATTACTAAAATTAAAAAGATACATTTATTTTATTCACATACTTACCAATTTCTTTCCACAGTAATAATATTTTTAAAAATAACGACTGTCTGTTACTAGAATTTCTTCAAGCCTCAACTATCTGCAGAAAGATGTACGGAATCAGAAAAGCAGAATGCGGAACAATGGGGAAAGACAGCAGCAGAAAAGCGGAAAGTACTGCCTACTACCAGCGCGTGTTCTGATTGGCTTCCGCTTTTCTGCTTTCCGCTTTTCCGCCTAGGTGTGAACCCGCCCTCACAGTCATACACACATACATGGGCGGGTGCAAGGGGGTGGCCTTCGGCAGAGGTCTGCCCCGACAGTATAGTCGTAGAAGTCGTACGCCCCTCAGCAGGGGGGGAGGGAGAGATAGACAGAGGTCTGCCCCGACAGTACAATCGTAGAAGTCGTTCGCCCCTCAGCAGGGGGGGAGGGAGAGATGGACAGAGGTCTGCCCCGAAAGTACTATCGTAGAAGTAGTGTGCCCCTCAGCAGGGAGGGAGGGAG